TCATTCTGAAGCAACATTTTACTGGATGTCTTAAGTGCAGTAAGGGGAGAAAAGTATTAAAAGATATAAAAATATAAAATCATTTTCAGATGATATGTTTGCATACATAGATAACCCCAAAGAATCTCCAGATAATTAGAATTCACAGGAAAATTTAGCAAGGTTGTTGAATATAAGCTATATATACAAAATTCAATTCTTTCTAGGAACCAGCAATAAGAGTTAGCAAATAAAACTTTAGAATTATACCATTTTAATAAGATAAAATCTAGAAATAACTCTTAAGAAAATTGTGCAAGTGCTCTACGCAGAAAACCACAAAACATTGCAGACCAAAATAAAAAGGAACTAAACCACACATTATGAATGTGAGTGTTGTATACATGTCAATTTTTGCAAGTTGACCTACAGATTCAATGCAATCTTTGTCAAAAGCCAATATTTTTTAAATAACCTCACAAGCTAATTATAAAATTAATATGGAAATGCAAAGGGTCAAGTGTTATTATTCTTTTTTTTTAAATTAATTTATTTGTTCATTTTTGGCTGTGTTGGGTCTTTGTTGCTGCGTGCGGGCTTCCTCTACTTGTGGCGACTGGGGGCTTCTCTTGTTGCGGAGCACGGGCTCTAGGCACACAGGCTTCAGTCGTTGTGGCTAGCGGGCTCTAGAGCGCAGGCTCAGTAGTTCTGGCGTACAGGCTTAGCTGCTCTGCAGCATGTGGGATCTTCCCGGACCAGGGTTCGAACCCATAGTCCCCTGCATTGGCAGGTGGATTCTTAACCACTGCGCCACCAGGGAAGCCCCTGTTAAAGTGTTCTTGAAGAAGAAAAAAGTGCAAAGACATGTGCTTCCGGATATCAAGTCTTATGAAATGGTAATAGTGGAGACAGTGTCATTAGTGTAAGGGTGACCAAAAAGTCAGTAAAAAAAAAACACCGCAAAACAGGGCTTCCCTGGTGGCGCAGTGGTTGAGAGTCCGCCTGCCGATGCAGGGGATGCGGGTTTGTGCCCCGGTCTGGGAGGATCCCACATGCCGCGGAGCGGCTGGGCCCGTGAGCCATGGCCGCCGGGTCTGCGTGTCCGGAGCCTGTGCTCCGCAATGGGAGAGGCCACAGCAGTGAGAGGCCAGCGTACCACACACACAAAAAAAGAAAACAGAGTTATGGGACTTATTACATTTATTATGAGTTTGGTACTGCTGGACGGTGTGAAAATGATTCTTTTTTTTTCTGGGTTTCATTTTTTTAATTGAAGAATAGTTGATTTACAATATTGTGTTAGTTTCAGGTATACAGGATAGTGTTTCTCTTTTTTTTTTTACAGATTATATTCCACTATAAGTTATTACAAGATATTGGGTATAATTCCCTGTGCTATACAGTAAACCCTGTTGCTTATCTGTTTGATGTATTAATCCCATACTCCTAATTTGTCCCTCCTCCTGCTCTCTCCCCTTTGGTAACCATAAATTTGTTTTCTATGTCTGTGTGTCTGTTTCTATTTTGTATATACATTTATTTGTATTATATTTTAGATTCCACTTATAAGTAATATCGTATTTGTTTTTCTTTGTCTGACTTATTTCACTGTGCATAATATTCTTTAGATCAATCCATGTTGCTGCAAATGTCAATATTTCATTTTTTATGGCTAAATAATATTCCATTCACATATTCTTAATCCAGTTGTTGATGGGTTGCTTCCATGTCATGGCTGTTGTACATAGTACTGTTTTGAACACTGGGGAGCATGTAACTTTTCAAATTGGTGTTTTCATTTATTCCAGATATACACCCAGGAGTGGAATTGCTGGATCATATGGTAGTTCTATTTTTAGTTTTTTAAGGAACCTCCATACTGTTTTCCATAGTGTCTGCACAAATTTACATTCCCGCCAACCATGTACGAGGGTTCCCTTTTCTTAACATTTGTTATTTGTAGACTTTCTGATAAGTGGTTCTGTGTCAGTCAACTGAAAACTCAAAATGAAATAAAAAGGTCTCTAACTCCCATAAAACACAAAAATTCTTTTCCTATGGTGTGTATAAATGTGAAAGGAAAAGCAATAAACATATTACAAGATATTATTTAAAAAATCTTCATAACATAACATTTTTCTTCAGTGTGCATGAAAAAGCATAAGCCAAATTCAAACATTAAGATGTCTGATTATATTAAAATTGAGAACTTCACTAAAGAACACTTTATGAAAGCTAACAGCAAGGCAAAACAGGAAAAGAGATAAGTAAGCACTATACATCAGTAATAAAGAAAAATACAACTTAATTAAAAAAAATCAAGACTTGAACAGACATTTTACAAAAGAGAAATTCCAACTAGGCAATGGAAAGTTCTTAAAATCTTCAGTGAGCAGAAACATGTAAATTAAAACCCCAGTGAAACAGCACATGCCTACCAGAATGACTAAAATTAGAAAGCCTTACAAGACCATTTATTGGAGAGGATGTAGAATAACAGAAATGTTCACATGTTGTTGGTAGGGCGTAAATTGGTACAACCTCTTTGGCAAATTATTTAGGATTATTTATTAAAATTGAAGATATTCATATTCTATAACACAGCAATTCTACTCCTAGGTATAAAACCAACAGATATTCCTTCACATATGCATTGATGTGTGTGTTCAAGAATGTTCATAGTATTAATACATATTAACCCCAAATTTGAAACAACATATGTCCACCAACAGAATGGATAAATAAGTTGTAGTATGTTCATTCAATAAAATACTATATAGCAATGAATGATTACAAATGAATGACTACATTTACACCTGACAATGTGGTTTAATATCACAAATATACTGATAATTGAAAGAAGCCAGATACAAATATGAATACAAATATATTTCCAAAATGAGCTAATCTAAAATATATTGTTTTAGAGGCATCCATGGAAGGTAAAGAATAGCAATAGCAAAAAAGAAAAAAAAAATTAAAAGTAAACATGGTTCTTAGTTTTATAGAAAAGTAAGAAGCTAGTTACTGGGTTAAGGTCACACTGGGAGTTTCTAGGTTCTATTTCCTGACATGGGTGTGGTAGCTAAGTGGCTATTTGCTTTATATTCATTAATTAATCTTTAGTTTTATGTTCTTTTCTGCATGTAGGTTTTATATTTTACAATAAAAAGAAAATTAGAAAGCCATATCTGCTCTCCCCACCCTTCTTGAAATCAAAAGAATGAATGGCCTAAGCAGACCAAGCTGCCCTGCCCCTTCCATCTGATAAAAGGGAAATGACATGCCTGAATCAAGGGCTGCTTGTAATAATAAATATCTTTTGCTTCTTCCTGATTCCTGAGCAGTCTTCTTGGTTTGATTTTACTTCAGAAGCAGATTGGAGAAAATGATGGCTCTAAACCTGAAACACCCTAGTCTTGGAACTCTATGTTGAGTTCAGATAGGAGGAAATTGTAAAGATCTCCAAAATTATTGGACTTTTTTTGGGTTATATTTAGAAGACTGTCCTTCCTTACTAAAATTCCACAAGCTAAGTGGATAATGGAATGTAGAGGAATTGGTTAGCATACCCTCACCACTGTCACAATCAAATCATACATATGCTTCCCTGGATTCCAGGGAGTTCTAAGGAAGTCATGTAAGGTGTCCTTTGTCTTTCCTTATATGCTGTATCCCCTCCCCTGTAATGTACCTGCCCAGTGTCCTCATGCCCTGCTAACACCTCACTAGCTGTTATCGTGTTCCGATACATACTAGAACTAAATCAACTAACTGCAACTTAATCCGTACCGTCAGACCCAAGTATTTATCTTCATTGTACTGAATCTATTGCTGATCTCTCTCAAGAGTTCATTATGTTGTAGGCAATTTCTTGTACCCCAACCCAAAGCATTGCAATCTTACTTGGCAGCAAGATTTTATATCTAACCGCAGTCCTGAATATTCTGAGCTTGCTAACCTCTTTCCTTCCTATGGCTCCCCTGGGTTATAGATCCCATAGTGGTAATGCACCCAGAACTTGCATCTTCCCTGGTGCCCCAAGGCTCTACAGATACAGTTGGCCGTCCGTATCTGCGGATGTGGAACTCTTGGGCACAGAGGGACGACTGTGCTGCGCCATTTTATATATGGGACTTGAGCATCCTCAGATTTTGGTGTCCGTGTGGGAGGGCAGGAGACTGGCGGGGGGAGTCTTGGAACCAATATCCCATGGATATCAATGGACAAGTGTATACAGAAACTCTTAAATCATAGCTACATGTTTCGTGTCACTCTGACACAACTTGTTCCAGCAGAAGCAGCGTTCGATTTTTCCAGTTAGTGAGTCTAGCACCAAATCCTACACATTATTATCCAGAATGAGAGCGAATGATCACACTCACCTAAAAGATCCTAAATGACTTGGCTTCATTTCCTCCAATGCTCTTTCTCACGCAATACACCAGCTAACCTGGATTCTTTGAATACTCCATGTGCACACAGATACCTTCTTGACTCACTGCGTTGCTCACATCCTTCACATCTCTGCTCAATTCTCACCTCCTCAGTGGGAAATTCCCCAACCAAACTACTTAAAAGTGCAACCTAACACACTCACTAGGCATTCACTGTTCCTTATTCTACTTAATTTTTCTCTACAGCACTTATTATTATCTGACATACTGTATTTTTACTTGTTTATTATGTCTTTCTCCCATTAGGATGTAATTTCCACTATGATAAGGATTTTTGCTCTATTTTCCTTTTTCACTTATATATTCATAGCACAAAGAACTGTGATGGACCCATAATAAACTGATCACATGTAAATGTGTTAAATTAATGAAACATAATTTGCATGAGGAATTAATTGAGGAATTAATACCAGAAAAACTCAGCTTTTAAAAAATAGCATTTATCTTATTTTCAATTCAAATTTTGAGTCACTTTCAAAGGATTTTATAGGAGATTTTGTTTTACATAAGTGTTGCTGACGTGATTATATTTACTTTGTGATTCTTGGGCGCTTTTCTTCTCAGGTTTAGGCATTAAAGAACCCTTGGGACATATAGATTTCTATCCAAATGGAGGGAAAAAGCAACCTGGCTGTCCTAAATCAATTTTTTCAGGTATACCAATAGTATTTTAGAATAAATTGTGCATGAGTCAAAATAATGAAAGAAAATCAGTTTACTTTTTTCCCTTATTAATCTGGGGGCAAGATTTTTTTTATCACCATTGCTCATGATTCAGGAGTTATTGGTGGAAAATGGTTTAATGTGATCCTTCTCGGTTCATAAATGTTACCAGTAGACATCCCATTTGGTTATGGGTGAAACCTATTACATTATAGTCTCAACAGTTTTAGTTTATCATTTTAAACATTAGGAGAAGTTATAAGTCAATGAAGAAGCATGTATAGCAAAGTTATATAACACAAGTTTGGCTTCAGGATTTAATTTTTACCATTACCATAGTATTGTACAAACACAGATTTATGAACTTCTGCACTTGGTTATTCTGTACATAAATAGCTGAGCAACATCTCCAGGTGTGGAATTTGGCTCACTTCAGAGCTATGGCAAAAAAATGTTCTGAGGTCTACAGTGGCAACCAGTCACGTACCACATCATTAAAGGCCACTGCAACTAGAGAAGTTTGGTTAAAGGGATAGGGATGTGAGAAGTTAGGAAAGGAAAGAGACATGATAAAGTTTTAATGTCACCTTGTTTCACATTCATCTCTGACACTGAATAGAAATGTTAAGCGTGAGAGTTTAGAAGGGAGATATGTGTACACTAGTTATTAAATATGGTAGCACTGTGTGTAGAGTTTGTTGAATAATTGAAATTAAACATTTTTGCTGTGTTATTACTTTAGAAAAATTTCTAATAAATCTCATGTAAAAGGCACATTACATATAAGTTTTAAATGGTAACATTTGTTTAGGTGCCTGAGATAAAACTGCATTGTAGTCAGCACTTTGATATTCATACAGTGCACAGCATTAGGTAGAACTTAATATTTTTTTTTCAAACTTACTTGAACTTGGCTTAATACATCTAACTGCTTGACTTTGAACACTTAAGGACTTGAATTTATTAAATGCGACCATCAGAGAGCAGTTTACTTATTCATGGCAGCTTTGGAAACAAGCTGCAATTTTATTTCATTTCCTTGTCATTCGTACAAAGATTACAAGACTGGTTCATGTGTGGATTGTGCCGACTTTAAGGAAAAATCGTGTCCTAAACTAGGTAAGAGAGATTATCATACTTACTATACTTCTTTGTGGAAAATGAACATGTAATTTTGTTAGTATTTTCTGCTGGAAGCTTTCATACTTACTTGTGAATATGCTATTAACATTTTATGGAAAAATTTTCTGTGGAACAGAGAAAATAGTTATTTCCTACTAAATATTTTTCAGATTCTTAGTGAGAGGAACTTGGTCAACCTCCTTTCTGTGTTCCATGTTGTGGGCGCATTTGGTCGTCTCATGATGATACTTGTTCTTGATTCACAAAAGGATCTCACTCTTTAGCATCCATCTATATTTCCACTAAAGAAAGAAACTTGTGCATTCTTAGTGGTACTGAGGGTTTTGTTTGTTTGTTAGTTTGTATTTTTAAGGGAATTCTTAACAAGTGAAGAGGTGTGAACCATGGTTAGCTTTTCATTTGCTATTAGCAAGTAGATATGAATCACGCATGGTTCACACCATCTAAATCAATAAACTTAAGAGCAGTTAAGTGTTGCAACTTTTGATAACTAAAGCCTGCCAGTGGGAAATTATAGAGAAAAAAAGAATCCATATAAAAAATAGAATGTTAGAGCTGGAAAGAATCTCAGAGGCTGTTTGTTCAGGGTTTGCCAAAGACAATACCAGACCCCAAGCGTGTCATGGGCATGTAGACATCTGATCAGTATCTTGATAGGCTCTACCAGAAATGTTTCCAAAGCCAAGTAACCTCAATGAAATGGGTAGCAATTACAAAGGCTGAATTAAACAGCCTCCTGCGGTTTTCTTTCACAGGAGGTTTATACTAATATACTAGAGAATTGCTAAAAGAGGCAGGCAATATGCAGGCTTTGCATGACTTATTTCCTCATAGACCCCTTCTGTCCACAAAATATCTTGTGGGATTAGTTTTCTTCAGTCCTCATGTCGGGGATTGCTTTTCTGGTCCCGTTGCTTTTCCATATAAATGAGGAAATTGTGACCCCGTGTGAACATATGGATTGCTGAAGGGCACAAGTGAAAACGGGAGTTAAATCTCTGAATTTTCAATTCAGTATTCTTTCTACTGCATTCAAATTTCGAATTCGGAGGTAGCAGTGTGGAAACAGACACATACATGAAGTAGGAAGCATATTAAATATGTGTGTGTGTATATGTTATATATTCTGTATGTACAAATATTGTTTGTATCTGAAATATATATTATACATACAATATATAGTGTACATAGATGCTATCTATAATATATACATTGTATATATAATGTATACATATGCGTACTGTATCTGTATGAATGTGTATATAGGATAATTGAAGGCTGTGCTCATGGAGCTAAATTCTGTGTTCAAGTTTTATCTAATCAATTTATTCTGCTGAATTAACTGAAAAGAGTTTCAAGTAAAATTCTGCATTTGTAATAGTAAAAACTTATACAAATGGACTTTAACTATATGGCATGTGCAAAGCTCTGATAAGGTTTCCAGGGAGTAGATTTATTTGTGAATCTTGAATTTAAGAGTTGTTACTGTAGTTGAAATAAATAGAATGTGAAATTATTTGAAAAATGATTTTTTAATTATAAAAATTCATAAATTATAATAATTATCATAATACATTGATCCTTTAGTTCTTTTAGTGATTTGATATTTTTGTATGTTATTTGATAAAAGTCCAATTACTAATATTCTATTTCTCAAATCTCAGGTTATCAAACTGAGCTATGGAAAGATGTTTTAAAAGAGAGAATAGAGAACAGAACTCTCAGGACCACTGTGTTTTTGGATACTGTTGGCACAAATCCATTCTGTAGTAAGTTAACATTTTTAACAAATGAACAATTGATTAGTTTTATATAGTAATTCATATTTTTATTCAAAATTCAAATCTCAAAATGTACTTTCAAGGAACTTTAAATTTTGTTAGAGCCAGTTATACAAATTCAAATAAGGACTTAATTTTTGAATAAAATGAGCATATGCTTTGGGTAATATTCTTCCAAAAAAATCAAGGTCTTTTTTTTTTTACCCCCAATTTCCATGATTCTTCTTCCCACGTTTAGAGTTATGTCAGCTTACAGAGTTTAAGACATCTGTCTACACTATTACCACCCTTTCAGAAACTGAAACTAAATTATATAAATACAAAAATATGCAAGTAAATAATAATCTTCCCAATATATTTAGACAAGAGGAAAAAATTTGAAGAACAGAAGAGAATCTCAGAAATGTAATAACTAATTAGATTTATGAGGAGCTATTTAAAAAAGTAAAATTATTCTGTTTGGAGAGCAAGATCTTAAAGTGCTTTATAAATAAAAGCAAATCCTATGATATGAAGAATCTTATGAAATAAGTTTCCAGTCACTGCCATTGATCTTGGTTACTGGGGAATAAATATTTAAAATAGACTCTTATTATTTTAAAATATTTTAGGTCAGTTATTGCAGATGTTTTGCAGTCAAAGTTATTATCAATTTTTAAGATACTCTTTAAACATTTGTGATGTGCCCTGTCATTCAGAATTGGGCTCATCCATTTTTTAATTTAAAATTTTTATTGAATTAAAATTTAGATTCACATGCAGATATAAGAAATAATGCAGAGGGATCCTGTGTACAATTTATTCAGTTTTCTTCAGTGGTAAAATTTTGTAGCACTATAGAATAAATGTAATATCATTACCACATGATACTGATATTGCTAGAATCCATCCATTTTATTTATATTTCCTCACTGGTGTGTGTGTGTGTGTGTGTGTGTGTGTGTGTGTGTTTAGCTCTGTACAAATTAATCATCATATAGGGCTCTGTATCTATCACCACAGTGAAGATATTGGACAGTTCCATCACTACCAGACCCTTTGGGTGGCACTTTTATAGCCATATATACCAGCTTCTTGTCCTGCTGTTTCTAATCCCTGACATCCATTAATACACTCCTAAAATTTTGCCATTTTGAAAATGTTATATAAAGGGAATCGTTCACTATGTGACCTTTTAATTGGCCTTTTTAAAGTCAGCATGATTCTCTGGAGGTTCATTCAGCATGTATCAATAATTCATTCCGTTTTATTGCTGAGTAGTATTCCACAGTACGTACGTACTGAAGTTTGTTTAATCACTCATCTCTTGTAGGACATTAGGCATGTGTTTAGATTTGGCTATTATGATTAAAGTTGCTGTGGATATTTGTATAAAAGTTTTTGTGTGAATTTAGGTTATCATTTCTCTGTTAGAAAGGCCCAGGAATACAAATGCTGGGTCAGAAGTTAATTGTACATTTAACCTTATAAGAAATTGAGAAAGTGTTTTTCAGTGTGGCTGACCATTTTACATTACCTGCAGCAAAGTATGAGTGATATAATGAGTGACTTCTTACTAGCATTTGGTGTTGTCATTATTTAAAAAAATTATCCCTCCTGATAGGTATATAGTGATGCCTTGTTGAGGTATTAATCTTTGTTGCCTTAATGGCTTATGAGATTGTGTATCTTCTCTGTATATCCTCTTTGGTGAAGTGTGTCTTTTGCTCATTTTCCAATTGGAGTTTTTTTAACTATTGAGTTTTGAGGATTCTTTATATATTTTTGATAGTAGTCCTTGTTTCCTTGTTGAAGATTTGGTTTGCAATTATTTTTTCCCAGTCTGAAACTTGACTGTCTTTTCATCTTCTTCACAAGGGCTTTCACAAGGGCAAAAGTGTTTACTTTTGATGAGGTCTAATTTATCATGTTTTCCTTTCATGGACTATGCTTTCGGTATCTAAGAATTCTTTGCTGAGCCCTAGGTCCTGAAGATTTTCACCCCCAACTTTTTTCTAACAGTTTTATAGTTCTGTTTGTTCCTTTAAACACAGACAACCTTGTTTTAAATTTATATTGAAAAGTACATACCCTAGAATATCTAAAATAATCATTGCCAAGAAGAATAAAGAAGAAATAATCAATTTGACCTTTCTTCTGTATCACATCTCTTTTTCTGATTCTCTTCTTCTGTCTTCCTCTTCTACCTTTAAGGGTTTGTGATTACAATCTTTGGGACTGCATTGGGCCCACTTGGATAATTCAAGATAACCTCTTTATTTTAAGGGCAGCTGATTAGCAATCTTAATTCCATTTGAGATCTTAATTATCCTTTGCCATTTCAGGTAACATATTCACAGGTTCCAGAGATTAGGGCACGGACATATTTGGGGAGGTCTACCACAATTATAATATGCATATGTGATTTTTCACAGTTTACTGGTATCAACATTTACCACGTCAAGTGAAACGTGGGAACTTCACTTCCATTTAGGTTATTTTACATTCTCCACTTTTATGTATCATTGTCTTGAGTATCGGATCATGTGATAATTTTTACTTCAAGTATCAAATATGATGTATAAATTCACAAGGATAAGGATAATTTATTGTACGTACCCATATTTCTTCTCTTCCCATTATTACCTTTTTGTTTCTGATATTCCAAGATTATTTATTTCATCAATTCCTCTGTGTTACTTCTTACAATATTTAAGAATGGGTCTGTTAAAGAGAAATCCTTTAAGTTTTTCTTTGTCTGAGAATGTCTTTATTTCTCCTTTATTCTCAAAGGATAGTTTTTCTGGGTATAAGATTTACAGTTGAGTTCCTTCTTTTAGCACTTGAAAAATGCCGTGTCTCTTCCTTTTGGCTTCTGTGTTTTCACATGAGAAATCCATTGTAACTCAATTTGGTGTTCTCCTGTAGATAACACATCATTTCTCTTTGGCTGCTTTCAAGAGATTTTTCTTTGTTTCTAGTTTTCTGAAGCTTAATTATAATTCTTTTGTTATACTCCCACAGGTCCCTGAGATTCTGTCCATTTTTTTTCTCAGTCTGTTTTCTCTCTGTTTTCAGGTGGAGTTTCAGGCAGATCAATCTGTTCTCCAGTTCACTGATTTCTATCCTCTTTCATTTCCACTCTGCTATTGAGGCTGTCCAGTGAGTTCTGTATCCATTATGGTATTTGTCATTTATGTAATGTCTACTTTTATTTTCTTTTATAGCTTCTATTTCTTGGCGGAGATTTTGCTATTCCTTCATTTTTTTTCAAGAGACTCTGACTTGGAAGGATTTTTATGACAGTTCCTTTAAAATCCTTGTCAGATAATCCCAGCCTCTGATTCATTTCAGTGCTGGCATTAGTCGATTGTCTTTTCTCACCAGAGTTGTGATTTTCTTTGTTCTTGGTATAATGGGTAATTTTCAGTCACATCTTGGACATTTTCTCTATGTGACAATTTGAGTCCTGTTTAAATCTTCCATTTTAGCAGGAGTTATATTGTTTAGGTTTTGGCTTTATGTATTCTGAGACTGTGAGTTTTAGCTACATAAAGCTTCAGGATTATCATATTCTCCTGGTGATTTGCTTTACTTTGCTCTTTTTTTGTGCTTCATAAATAAAAATGCATTTTTTTTTTTGCCTCACAGACTATTTTATCAGATTTTTTCACAACAACAATTTGTCTCATAGAGCCTTTAAACCTTGTGTCTTCTTTTCTATCCTCAGTATTATATTCAGTAGTATTTTATTTCACTTATTTAACAATAAATAATTATTATGAATATTATCATTAATCAAATGCTCACTTATATTTACCAATTTCAGTTTTCTACATTTTATCTTGTCCTTTCCTCCCTTCCCAACTCCTTCCTTTGGGACTTAATTTCTATCTTGCTAAAATAGATCCTTAATGACTTTTCACTAAGTAATGTTTCTCAGTTTGTTTGTTTGTTTCCTTGAAAATGTCCTTATCTTTTTCTTACTCTGGAATGTAAATTTAGTCCGGAATAGAATTCTACATTGAGAGTTTTTTCATTGAGTACTTTGAAGATATTAATTCTCTCATTTTAAGATAATTTTCTTATCATTTATTAGCAGTCTAATTGTCCCCTGCAGATAATCTATATTTTTCTTCTGGTTAAACTTATGTATGTATATATGTATTTATTTATCCATCTATTAATTTATGCATGATTTGTTGTTATTTTCTAGTCTCAGTGGTCAGTTCAAGTCTCTATTAAAGAAAAAAATATTTGTGTTATTTCAAAATAAAGATTCATGTCACATTTTAACAGAAAACTCTCATCAGTCTGCTCTTCTTCAAAATTCTCCCTTCAGGAACAAGTTGGATTTTATTTTTTCCAGAATTTAGTTACCATAATACTAGAGGATTTTTCATGTAAATTTTTGGAGGTCCTTAACCAATGGGGACTTGTAAATTTAAATTCTGTGTTACCTGGAGTTTTATTTAGTCTTAAGGAATTTATTTTTCCACTTAAGACCCATACACAACCAGTAGGAAGAATTTTTCAAGTTTCTCTTTCAATGACAAAGCAGAGAGCTAAGGTCCCTGACTGTGCAATGTTTTTCACTGTCGCTCCATCACTTAGTGTTGTCTCCTGCTGTACCATGGAAATTGACACTTCATCCTTTGTCTCCATGCTACACCCAGTTCTCAAGTCCCATGCAGATCCAGGGCTTCAGTTCTTCTTAAGCCTTGCCTTTAATTTCTCTTCATTGCTGTCTCCTGATATTTTCTCTTCCTTCATCTGAGCTTTGTCGTGTTTTCAATTTACACCCAGAATGTCTATACACTTGTAGCAGGAGGCAGGCTTATTATGTAACATCTCAATATATCATACTGCCAGGAATCATCTGAGCAAGTATGAGCACCCACTATTTTGGGTGAGGGAACCAAAGTATTTTATCTAAAGCTGGGCAGTCACTTCAAAGTAAGAAGTGTTCCTTTATGTCTTTTGTGTTAGCAATTGATGAGGGTCAATTATAAATCCATTACCTTATTTGAGGTAGTACTAAGCATCTGGCATAGGCAAGAAGTTACTCTGGGCTGTTGAGTAGCAACATTTAATGGCTAGCATGCACAATTTTAGTACATATGTATTTCACAAGAAAAGTTCATCTATCCCATATTCTGTTTATATACATTGTCTTCCAAGAGTTTTGCACAATACTGGGAAAATTCACGGAGAGTAAGAAATTTCTGTGTACACCAGACAATATCGGGTATAGGGATGAGTTCAGCATCTTTGCCTCTGAAAGATATATCAATTTTTTTGTACAGGAATTTTGAAAAAGAACTACTGTGAGCTCACTCTGTATAGGACTGTCTAATTTCACAGTCATTCCAAAACAACCAGTGAAATCGGGAATTATATTTGTCAAGCAAATTTAGCTAGGACTATTAATCAGATAATTAAGGAACCTTATCATATTTACCTTAGATGTGCTATTGATAGAGAAAAATTGTTTAATTGACCTAAATTCTGATATTTTTCGATTTGCAGACAAGTTAGTATTTACTAATTATTTGACCAACTTTTCACCATACCCATGACTGTCTGGCAAGCTTTTATTCCTCATTTTCAAGACCAGTTAAAAATTAACAAGAGGGAATTTCCCTGGTAGTCCAGTGGCTAAGACTACGTGCTCCCAATGCAGGGGGCCTGGTTTGATCCCTGGTCAAGGAACTAAGAATTCTCAACTAAGAGTTCGCATACCACAACTAAAGATCCTGCAGGCCACATGCCACAACCAAGACCCGGCACAGCCGAATAAATAAATGTTAAAAAAAGATTAACAATAGGTAAAATATATTACATATGTACCAAATGAGTGCCTCTCAATATTATTTGCAGATATTATATATGCCTAGATTACATAAATATATATTTACATGCATATCTCCACCAAACCAAAGTTAAAAAATAACATGAATTGCATTCCATATTTTTGTTTTGTAGCCTATTATTTTGTTCTCAGTATAATTGTTCTGGATAAAACAATGAAGGATGGCTGTATTACATTTAAATTATTAAACCAACTTGGAATGGTTGAAGAGCCAAGGCTCTTTGAGTAAGTAGAATTTAGTATCTTTTTGTTTTGTAAAATATGTTTTCTTGAGCTTTTGGAGGATAATCTAAATAGTATAAATTTTCTATGCAGTGAGTCTTAAACTGTTAAATATTAAATGGATCTCTGGTGTCATATTCTAATTCATTCATTCTATGGAGGGAGATGCCGAATATGAAAGAAACTAAATAACTTGTTCATGTGATACATCTAGCTACTACAAGAGTTAGAAGAAGAGAAGAAACTTTCCACCTAATTTTGAACACTGATAGAATGCGTTGTAATAACTAATAATATCACCCCATAATATTTTATTACTTTAAATTGCTTAGAATTGTGTATATATGTATATACCCATGCACACATATACGTATGATTCATCACTTATTCTTATCAGACACATGGTGATCAGACACATGGTGATCCAAACTGAAATAGCAATGTTACCGTGCTCAAGGAGGTCACAGAATCCTGGAGGAGACTAATGCATAATTACAGCTCTGAGTAATAAGTTTTATAGTAGCAGAACACTTATGTGCTACGGGAGTACAGAGGAAGAAGCAAGGAAGCATTTGAAAGGGTGGTATTGCAGTCAGGGAATGGGAGATGGTGCTTTCAAAGGCATGGATAGGTAAGTACGTGAGTTCATTAATAGCACAGATTGCAGTCCTAGAGCAGTTGTTTCAAACTTGTTCAGAAGGCAAACTGTGAGTCTTGCTTTCCTTTACAAGAATCATGTTCTATGCAGAACACCATGAAATACTGATGCATTTTTATTCAAACACTTGATTATTGCATTTTTCATGAACAATGTAAAATATAAAACCCATATGCATGGTAAATCTATCCATCTAAGCCTGGCCAATGGCTTCTTGTTTTTCTATTAATAATTCTTTGCTCATAAATTTATACATGCTTTAGGATTTTAACCCTATTAGATGCCAGGGAAGTCAGAGACTTTTTTTTTTTTTTTTCGGGTACGCGGCCCTCACCACCGCGGCCTCTCCCGTTGCGGAGCACAGGCTCCGGACGCACAGACTCAGCAGCCATGGCTCATGGGCCCAGCCACTCCGCGGCATGTGGGATCCTCCCGACTGGGGCACGAACCTGTGTCCCCTGCATAGGCAGGCGGACTCCCAACCACTGTGCCACCAGGGAAGCCCAATCAGAGACTTTTAAATGATCTTTTATTTCCCTTTTAAAAATTAGAAAAGGAATTTTTTTTTGCTGTAGAAAATGTGTTATACAGTAGAAAGTGAGAATAATCTATAATTACATTGTCCAGGGATATTCACATTTACTATTTGGTTTATAAACATTCCTCTTTTTCTTCCTCCCCCTCCTCTTCCGTCTCCTTCTCTTCCACTTTCATCTCTTCCTTTTCCTCCTCTTTCTTCTTCTTCTACATGCCCCTGAACATGCATACATTATTTTTTTACTTAGCAAAATTAGGATCATTTTGCACATGTGTTCTGCATTCTGATTTTTATACTGAATGCTATAGTGTGATCATTTTTTCTGTGTCACTGAAAATCACTTACACATCATAATAGGATGCCAAATATATTAATATGGCAATATAGGATTTTAAACAGAGAGTGTCAATATTGTGTATTCAGGGTAGAATGACTCCCCAGATGGATGAGTAATGGGGAGATTAGTGTGGAACAAGTGCAGAGTGGTTGCTATTGTAATAACTTATAGGAAAGATAATGGAGGCTTGGATAGAGTCAGTGGAAGTGGGTTTTTAGGATTTAGAGTAGATTTGTTTCTGTGATTAATTAAACATGTGAAAGTGAAGGGAAAAAAACCCAATCTGGAGTGACTTTGAGTTTTAAGCTTGGTGACTATTTGAATTATGGTGCCATTTACTGAGCTAGGAGATACATGGAGAGGAGCCAATTTAATCATTCAATAAAATTTCTTGAACTGTACTAGAAATTAAGGACAAAATTTAGGGAGAATTATAGATTTCTGTCCTTTCATAATTTTTGTCTAGTAAGCAGTTTGCAAATACATAATACAAATAAAATGATGATGTTCATCATTCCTGTTTTCAAAACAATTTTTTTTTTTTTTTTTTGCGGTACATGGGCCTCCCACTGCTGTGGCCTCTCCCACTGTGGAGCACAGGCTCCGGACGTGCAGGCTCAGTGGCCATGGCTCACGGGCCCAGCTGCTCCGCGGCATGTGTGATCTTCCCAGACTGGGGGAAGAACCCATGTCCCCTGCATCGGCAGGCGGACTCTCAACCACTGTGCCACGAGGGAAGCCCTCAAACAATTTTTAATGAATATCTATACTGAGCTAGGCACTGTACTAGGTGCTGAATATACTATGATGAGAAAAACAGACATGATCCTACCCTCATTAAATTTACAGTCTAATGAGAGATATAAAATAAATAATTATAAAAATATGTAAATAAAAATCAGTCTGTGAAAAATGTCTTGAGGCAAATTATAGTATGTACAGGAACACAGAATAGGGAATGTGAAATAGTTAGTGGGGTCACTAAAACTTTCTCTAACGCCTTTTTATATCAGTTGAGACCAAAAGGAGGAGCAGGAGTTAGCCGCTCTGCTGCATTCTGGGCAGAGGGGCCAACAAAGGCAAAACTCCTGAAGCAGGAGAAAGTAGAGTCCATTTTGGGAGCTGAAGGAAGTTTATTATGTCTGAGAACAGAGGCAGGGAAAGGAAGAGAATGATGAGAGAGGTAGAAAACACTTATATTTTGTAGGAATTAGAACCTGTAGGACATGTTCAAGGATTTCTATTTTATTCACTTGGCAAGTGAAAACCAATGAAGTGTTTGCGCTGGGGCAGTCTGGTTGGAGCCAGGACTGGATTATTATTTTGGAGAAACATTTAACCACAGTGGATTGGAGAGGGAAAAGACAGGATGCTGTTGCAAGAATAAAGACCAGGAACAATGGTGCCCTGAGATAAAGTGTTTACAGTGGAAATGGAAAAATGAGAATGAGGATGGATTCAAAGCAGATTCAGGATATTTCATAGACAGTCAGCAGGCACATGGGATAGATTAGATGTAGGAGTTAAAGAGAGGATGGGGGACCTTCAAGATGGCAGAGGAGTAAGACGTGGAGATCACCTTCCTCCCCACAAATACATCTACATGTGGAACAACTCCTACAGAACACCTACTGAACACTGGCAGAAGACCTCAGACTTCCCCAAAGGCAAGAAAATCCCCACGTACCTGACCATGTGGCTGACAGGGTCCATGTGCCTGGCCATGTGGCTGACAGGGTCCATGTGCCTGGCCATGTGGCTGACAGGGTCTTGGTGCTCCAGCCTGGTGTCAGACCTGAGCCTCTGAGGTGGGAGAGCCGAGTTCAGGACATTGGGCCACCAGAGACCTCCCGGCCCCACGTAATATCAATTGGTGAGAACTCTCCCAGAGATCTCCGACTCAATGCTAAGATCCAGCTCCACCCAATGACCAGCAAGCTGCAGTGCTGAAGGCCCCATGCCAAACAACTAGCAAGGCAAGAACACAACCCCACCCATTAGCAGAGAGCCTGCCTAAAATCATAATAAGTTCACAGACACCCCAAAACACACCAACAGACATGGCCCTGCTCACTAGAAAGACAAGATCCAGCCTCACCCACCAGAACACAAGCTGTCCCCTCTACCAGGAAGCCTACAAAAGCCACTGAACCAACCTCACCCATTGGGGGCAAACACCAAAAACAACGGGAACTACAAACATGCAGCCTGCAAAAAGGAGACCTCGAAAACAGTAAGTTAAACAAAATGGGAAGACAGAGAAATATGCAGCAGATGAAGGAGCAAGGTAAAAACCCATGAGACCAAACAAATGAAGAGGAAAGAGGTATTTCTGAATACCTGAAAAAGAATTCAGAGTAATGATAGGAAACATGATCCAAAATTTTGGAAATAGAATGGAGAAAATACAAAAAACGTTTAACAAGGACCTAGAAGAATGAAAGAGCAAACAAACAATGATAAACAGCACAATAAATGAAATTAAAAATTCTCTAGAAGGAATCAATAGCAGAATAACTGAGGCAGAAGAATGGATAAGTGACCTAGAAGATAAAATAGTCGAAATAACTACTGCAGAGCAGAATAAAGAAAAAAAGAATGAAAAGAATTGAGGACAGTCTCAGAGACCTCTGGGACAACATTAAACTCACCAACATTCTAATTGCAGGGGTCCCAGAAAAGAAGAGAAAAAGAAAGGGTCTGAGAAAATATTTGAAGGATTATAGTTAAAAATTTCCCTAACATGGGAAAGGAAATAGTCAATCAAGTCCAGGAAGTGCAGAGAGTCCCATACAGGATCAATCCAAGGAGAAACACGCCAAGGCACATATTAATCAAACTACGAAAATTTAAATACAAAGAAAATATTTAAAAGCAGCAAGGGGAAAGCAACAAATAACGTACTAGGGAATCCCCAGAAGGTTAACACCTGATCTTTCAGCAGACAGAAGGGAGTGGCAGGACATATTTAAAGTGATGAAAGGGAAAACCCTATAACCAAGATTACTCTACCCAACAAGGATCTCATTCAGATTCGATGGAGAAATTAAAACCTTTACAGACAAGCAAAAGCTAAGAGAATTCAAACCAGCTTTACAACAAATGCTAAAGGAACTTCTCTAGGCAGGAAACACAAGAGAAGGAAAAGACCTACAATAACAAACCCAAAACAATTAAGAAAATGGTAATAGGAACATACATATCGATAATTACCTTAAATGGAAATGGATTAAATGCTCCAACCAAAAGACATACACTGGCTGAAGAGATACAAAAACAAGACCCATATATATGCTGTGTACAAGAGACCCACTTCAGACCTAGGGACACATACAGACAGAAAGTGAGGGGATGTAAAAAGATATTCCATGCAAATGGAAATCAGAAGAAAGGTGGAGTAGCAATTCTCATATCAGACAAAACAGACTTTAAAATAAACACTGTTACAAGAGACAAAGAAGGACACTACA